GATAGGTAATTGCTTGTTAGTATTCGCTAAATTTCACCTATTTTAAACAAACGTATTCTTTATTAAAGTACGTTAAAGTAGCGTTATTTTAAATGTTATAGATTTCCCCGGCTAATGGTAGTTGCTGTAGAATATTTGAGAGATGTGAGGTTAAATCGAAATCGCCTTTCAAATTACCAACACGTCAAGTACATTTTTAACCCGCTAACATTCAACCCGAAATGAGTAGGTGGGACATTAAACCTGTCGAATATTCTTGATGGATTACCCCGTTTTTAAATCGTACAGCGTATGGGAAATATGTTTATCAAAGCGACGCGTTTCGTTCGGCTTTCATACAAAAAAATTGATTTAATGTTATTCAGCCGAACGCACGGTCATCGGATTTAACTAAAATTTATTCCTTTTCGTTTCAACCGGGAATTAAACGCGAATTTTGTTAGTTAACATTTAGCGCTAATAGCCACCTGTAATAAGATCATTAATTATCGACCGATATAAAATATATGTTTAATTAAATTGTGGGGAGGTATCCACATTATGTCGGTGTAAAATAATCGGATTTGTTGAAATTACGTATGCACGTAATTACGATTTCGCATGCATAATCAAATTACCATTCGATTTTGTAACGAATTTAATACAAAAATAGGTACCAGCATGATGCTATAGGCGCTTTATTAGCACAAAAGGCATGGTAATATTTTTAGAGTATTGTATAAAAATGGAGACACTCTATATAAAAAAGAGTTAGGTTTGATGTTAGGTTTGCTTTTGTACGGAAGCGATTGTTGAAAAATTTGACGCCCAATCATCAGTTATCTTTCAATAGTCGCCCTTTTTGCGCCATGCGCTTGTTATTAAATTCCGATAAAAAATCACGGGACCGCTCCGTTTAATACATGTCGCCATCAATAACTTAGGGTTGTCGGCGTGTCCAGGCACAGAGAGCCAGAATTGTGCCCTATAAATTACATCGAATGCTGTGCCTTCAGGATGATGAATCACTGACAAGGCTCTCTCTCTTCCTATATGGAAGTTGCGAAAGATAAGCGCCCGCCGGTTGTTTTGCTTCGTTTCCCCATCGATATTGTTGTTATACTTATATTAGGTTTAGCGAAAATTTGCTACTTTTCAACAGTTTTTTTTTATTCCATTCCACGTCCGTTCAATCGCTTCTGCAGAAGAATCGAGCAAATTGACAACGTACAACTGCAGCGGTGTTTTTGTTCAAACACCGGCTGCTGTACAAATTACGAATTTTTTTCGATCGGTCGGCCGGCCAAAAGTATGCATGCCGCAAAATTTCGAAATTTAATTAATTTCGTTAGGATGCAAGCACGTTCGGCGTCCACTGCACGCAACGCTCCGATTTTATTGTATGTAGAGTTTGGTCAATTTGATAGCTCTACAGTTGAGTACATATGTACTGTGTCGGACAGGTAGAAAATTAATCGCCATTAGGCGAGTATTTTTCGGGTCGAACGTTTCTCGTTTTTATGGACGGATTTTACATGAATTTTGTTGTCAAATTTGTAACTTTCGTTTCACTTTGTTAACTTCCACATGCAACCAAGCTTTGCGAAGTTTCACTTTGGTGTCAGAAGCCGAATAGCCTCGGTAGCTTATACCATAAATTTGTAACTACAAATGATATGAAACTGTGATGAACTGAATAATTTCGTAAACAGAGAGCTCAAAATATTAAAGTTACCAAGTACTTATTCAGAAAAATCAAAATGTCTTGGGTATAGAGGTAACTATAACCGCGGGGTTGGTGAAGTTTCTTTCCCCAGAGCCTCGGCATCCACGAGAAACAGGCACGCAATTACGACCTATGAAGACCGTGGAAAAGGATTGGACTAAATACTGCATTACTAAGCTGTCAGATGCAGAAATTGGATTTTTCCTTTGTCCACGACATTATACTTTTTGTCTGAATAGCAGCGATTCTTTGAAAAAGCTCCTTTTATGAATATTTGACGACACCGAACTCAAACCGCTCGTAAATGGTTTTTTTCTTCCTTTGATGCCCGTACTTGCATTTTTTAAGAGAACTCGCTCCAATGCGTTTTACGCGGGTCATTTTGTTTTCGAAACGATATCAAAAGTCTCTGTGTCAAAATGACTATTTCTCCATACATAAAAATTTCAGTAATATTATTAAAACTAACACAATAGACCTTAAATAAAACGATATAGTTATTAATATAATATACTATAAAACAAGTACAAACTAATTAGATATGATATAATAGAATATAAATAACGACCTGCGTTATAAAGTTAGAATATTTTATTAATTTTGAAAGGAATAATGCGATAATATGCTCCTATAATAAAACTGCCAGTTACCTGAAACACTCACTTTATCAGTACACTTTGTATACATTACCGATTCTGACGGGCGAATGTAATATATGTATGAATGGGGTTTCATATATCCGCTGCGGCAAATATTCAAAATTAATGTAATCATATCACAAACATATTTTGAAGTAACAAAGGATCCAATTACGATACCCTATTATTCCGAAAATGAAGTTTTGTTTTGTTGACAAGCCACTGATTGGACAAAAATACAGTATGTATGTATGTATCATCAAATTAATTAAAACACGTCTTTCGTGAATCGGCGCAATTATGAGTTCTTTTTTTCAGAGTTAGAATTCCGATCCATTAAATAATCGCAAATGAATTATTCAGGCGAATTTCCATTTGTTCCACTAAAAAAGTAAACATCGTACATCGCGATACAAATTGAAAATTTATTATTTATTTCTCCCAGCGGTTTATTTATATTTGAAAAGCCTTTTATAATCAGTTCCCCTTCATGAAACGGCAAAAATGAAACCGAAATTAAATTGAAAAAGCCATTTTCGTACACCGTGTGAGTATAATACCTACATTTACAAAACTTTTGCCCATACTATTTAAAATATAGCACCAAAACTAAGATTAATTTTAGCAGAACAAAAGAGGCTCAATCCACTTGTTTTCCACTTAAGGCTCAAAAATTTTAATAACGCTTGATTTACTGGCGCTTATATTTTCTTTGAGATATAAATTAGGAGCGCAATTGCGTCAAAAACGAAATCAGCCAAGAAACATCAAGTACATTATTTATAGCTCGGAATTTATATACCAGCGATCGAAGAGGAAAATCCTCGCGAAAGCTACAAATAATAGCTTTTTCCGAAAAGTCCAATAATAAGCAATGATTTCCTCTCACGTAACAAACAGAAATGTTTACTTATCGAGACGATAAAACGAAAATATCAACAAAATCCGGGTTTATTTGTTACACCTTGTACATAAAAGAAGAAACTCCCGTTAAAAATCCAACCCTCTATACGCCGCAGAATTTCAATTTAGGAAAGCGGTTTCCTTCGGACATTAATTCTATCTTTCCGCTTTTGTTAGTGCTTCCTTGTCACTAATTACGTTTGCTTTTAATATATGGTAGGTTATTCTGATCACTTTAAGGATAAGTTCCGGTTTGATAAGAGCATCCGTCTTAAAAGGAATCGGCTATTACATTAATTTTTTATGTCGGAAGTGAACTAAGCAAACCGAAATGCGGAGGAAAATCCGATGAGATTGTTCGAGAGCGAATTCAATTGTGGGTATACCGGATGAATTTAATTATAAATTTATGTTTTTATATGTAGGGTAGAGGGTACGTGAAAGAGAGGTAAAAAAAAATGATTTATAGATCGATCTATTTTTATAGATTTTAAAAGCGATCCAATTTAATAATATATTATATTTTATGACAGCGAAAAGTGCTGAATGCGTGTGGCCGAAATCCCTCAATTTGGGACCCGACATCTTCGCGCGTCGTGATTTCGATTCTTCCGAGATGAATTGTTGTCAATAGAAAATTGAATTCTGTGGTTCATCGCCTCAATCCCGACTTTGCCGCGCCATTTTTTACAGAAATTTCTCTATAAAAGTAAATGACACCGGGCTTTGCACACAACTTCTTATCGGCTTTCCCTTTGCCAGGCGCCCTTTCGCTCGGCAATGGCGCCCAGATTTTCTCCTGTAATCTCCGGCATCGAGAAGACAAGCTTATTACCGACTTGTTTGGCAGGGTTTCGTTATGATAACAATTTTTTTGCTACAACCAGCTTTTCATCAAATTTTTTTGGTAACAAACATATGGTTCTAAAAACAAAGCAAACTTCGAAACTTGCAAAGGATAATGTAATTGTTAATATAGCGTTGACATTACATACAATGAATTATTTGTACGAACAATTATACATATAGCTCAACAAATAATTCAGGTTGTGACGTGATCGCGGAATTAGAGTATGAGCGTAGTAGATACTAGGTTGCTTTCATGATGATTGGGATTTGATCATCGGAGCGTTGATGATTTAATCTGGGTGTTGCGTCACGTGAACGTTTTATGGCCGTTTCGCTTAGGTGCGAAAATTTGTTGTAGACGATTGCGGCGGTTTATTGTGATGGCTGGAGCATTACCTCATTCAAAAAGTGGGAATAGTCAATGTAAAACGTCAAAACGAGCGGATTTTATGGGCCGTGAACGATTGATGAAGCTTAAAAGTTTTATCGTATACGATATATATGACTATTTTCGGAAGTTTAGTTCAGGCATGAGAATCGGGCTAACTACCGCGCGTCAAAAATAATCGTAAATAACGTCGAATTCGTTTCGCTGCTCATTATTTTCTGGTGAATTCGATAACTGTTCGCTTATCGTAAACCTTAATTATCCTGCATCGGTAATTATTACATCATTATACATACTTTTTCCATTCTCTACTGAATAGATAAATAATTGAATTTATCACGTACCTACAGTAATTGTACAAAGTTTCAAAACGTCATAAATAGTTTATCTACAACAATAATTACTAACTAAAAAAAATACATTTTGCAAATTACGCCCGCTATCATTATCATAGATAATTATAATCTAAAGTATATGAAGCTCATGCTAAAATAGCCTATCTAGGTCAATAAGTTAATCCAAATTTAGTACGCTGCGATAGTACTGCTAGCAAGAATTTAAAGAAATTTGTTACCGCAAAGTAACTTTCTCTCTTCTAAACACTAAATTCTTTATTCATAAAAGAAAGCATCATAAACAATATAGTAGTGTTTATCTCCTAGTGAGCATATCCACTAACAATTTAACAGTAAATTAAATTTACGATGCAGAAACGGGAAGATATACAATTTCATGTTGATCACAAACAGCATGTAGGTAAGTATTTTCAATTATTTTATATTTATAAAAGTTTTATGTAAGGTAAATGAACCGGTAGTTGACAATTAACCAATAGTTGACCGTTTGACTTTCGAACTTCGAACCGTTTGACTCGAACAAATAAGAAAAATAATTGTTATATTAGGTTATTATTCGTATAGTAGCATTTTATTTTGTACCTTTATGACATTACAAATTATTATTTTTTAAGTTAAAATCGGAGATATCAGTCCTGAAACAACCTTAAACACTTACTTAAGGAAACATTCCCATTTAACTGGCACCAAGCTAATGTGTGGTGAAGGAGGATGTGGCGTATGTACTGTAGTAGTTGATCAAATTCTGGAAGGAAAAAAACGCACGTTCTCCATAAACTCAGTAAATACCAACTATTTTGCTTTATATGTAAGGCTAATAACAATTAAAATTCTAGTGCCTGGTTTCAATTTTATCCTGCAATGGTTGGAAGGTACATACAATAGAAGGCATCGGTAACCCCCTTAAAGGCTACCATAAAATTCAGAAGGCTCTGAGCGACAATTACGGCACGCAATGCGGATTCTGCTCGCCAGGAATGGTGATGAATATGTATGCTCTTCAGGAATCCGGAAAAGCAACTGCTGAAAATATCGAGAATTCGTTCGGAGGGAATATCTGTAGGTGTACCGGATACCGACCGATTTTACACGCTTTCAAACAACTCGCAACCGATCAAGAAGATCCTATTGCTGATATAGAAGATATCACTCCTTGTAAAAACAAAATTTGTAAGGAGAAAATGGAAATTTTTTTCGTAGAATTTAACGATTCAAAATGGTATCGAGTGTCAACTATAACTGATTTGTTAAAAATTTTAAGAATTACTTCCGATAATTACAGATTGGTTTTTGGTAATACAGGAAGAGGTAAGATATCTCGTTTAAATAAATGTATCAACTTACACAAACGGTGTTTCAGGTGTGTTTAAAAATGATCCTACGCCTTCAGTTTACATAGATATCCTACAAGTCGAGGAGCTGAAGACTTACTCTTTGAAAAACAAAACACTAACAATAGGAGGAAATGTAACTTTATCAGAATTAATGGAACTTTGTAATAAATTGTCCTCAACACCAGGTTTTTCTTATCTAGACACCATACATTCACACGTAGACCTAGTGGCTACACTTCAAGTACGAAATGTGAGTAACTATTCTTGATCTTTTCTAACCCTCTACAAATTTTCTTCCTCTAGCTTTCTTGGGAATGCTGTCGAATAAGTTGTATATTCATAATTTATTTTATTTTTTTAGATAGGGAGCATTGCTGGTAATCTGATGTTAAAACATCGCCACAACGAATTTCAATCCGACATTTTCTTGTTATTGGAAACCTTCGATGCAGATCTTGTAATTGGTAAAAGAACAAAATACCTCTTAAAACAAATAAAAAATCGAATATCTTTCAGTGAATTACGACGAAAGTGAGGAAGTCGTGTCGCCTCAGGATTTCTTAAAATTAGACATGAACAAAAAAGTAATTAAAAAGATCGTTCTCAATTCGATTGATGACTCGTACAAATTCGCTTCTTACAAGGTAAGCGTTATTTTTAATTGGGAGAAACAAGTTAATTAATCTGATTCCCGCTTTCAAAAATACACACTACCAATTAAAAAGGAATCTTTACCAATTAATACACTTAAATGAGGGGAAAATATAAAAAAATAATTATAAATAATGAACAAAACGAATAAAATTTTCCCAACTCTCCCCTAAGGGGAGAATCGATAAAGACGGAGATATTTAGAGAAGTAGTAGGAAAAATAAAATTGAATCATTATTTAAACTTCTAGATTATGCCAAGGACTCAAAACGCCCATGCAATGGTAAACGCTGGATTTCTAGTCCAGCTTCAAAACGGGATCGTTCAAAAGGCTCGAATCGTTTACGGCGGAATAGATTCGACTTTTGTACACGCATCATTGACTGAGAAAATTATAAAAGGAAAAAATTTGTACGATAATGCAAATTTACAGATCATTTTCAATTCATTAAACAACGAAATCATTCCTGAAGACACCCCGCCAGATCCAACTCCTGACTTTAGGAGAAACCTAGCTATATCTTTGTTTTATAAGGCAAGACTTTTAATTACCTGCTGTTTTAAAAAGTTAATTAATATATTTCTTATTTAATAGTTTGTTCTAAAAACTTGCCCGCCCAATATAATTGGTAGCAGATTCAAAACTGGCGGATTATTATTAGGACGACCTCTTTCCGAAGGAACTCAAGAGTATGGAACTATTAAGGAAAACTGGCCACTTACACAACCTATACCAAAATTAGAATCTCTAGCACAGGCATCAGGTAATTAATCAAAATTAGTTCAACAGTAAATTAGTAGAGCATATCTAATCTAAGTTTTACAATCTCAATAGGTCAAATCAAATACATCATGGATGCACCTTTATTACCCAATGAAGCTTTCGTTTCATTTGTAACAGCTAAAGCCAAAGCTGGTTCAACAATAACTTCCATAGACGCAACTAAGGCTTTGGTAAGATTAGAAACCAATTTCGTATTGAGATAAATCTTAAAATTTCCAGAACATGGAAGGTGTTATCGCTTATTTCGATAAGAAAGACATCCCGGGTATCAACACTTTTACACCAAAAGATGTCGGACTATTTCCAGTACAAGAAGAACTGTTTTGTAGTGGAACAGTTCTGTATTTCAACCAACCCGTTGGCATTGTAGTTGCCAGCGATGACGTTACAGCTTCTAAAGCAGCTCAACTGGTTAAAATTAGCTACCAACCTCCGACAAAAAAAGTTTATTTCAACGTAAAAGATGTGGTTAGGGACGACGTAAAAGACAGAATTATCCATCAAACGACAGTATTACCTAAAAGTAGAGGTAATTAACTAGTAACATCAACGATGTTAATATCGGACATAATTAATTTAATCATTTACACTAATTTATAGGAAATGATGTCTACAAAACTGTATCTGGAGAATTCTACATTAATTGGCAATACCACTATCACATGGAAACGCAATGTTGCAAAGTGGTTCCAAGAGAAGATAACATTGATATTTATCCAGCTTCGCAGTGGATGGATATAAATCAACTAGGGGCTTCAGCGGTACTTGGAATACCCGCCAATAAGTTAGAATACTTTTACCAACCTATACCACGATCTAATATTTGAAATTTTTAGAATAAACATAAAAGTCTCACGTCTAGGAGGCGGCTTCGGGGGCAAAATGTACCGCTGCGCGTTGATATCTTCAGCAGCTGCTCTAGCAGCATACAAACTCCAAATACCCGTTACTATGTCACTATCGTTCGAAGAAAACATGAACATAATTGGAAAAAGATTTCCTCTGTACGTTAATTACGAAGTGGAGGTAAATAAAGCAGGAATAATCCAGTATTTGAAAGCAGATTTATATTCCGATTTTGGAATTGGAGGTAACGAACCTTTTAACGATTTACTCGTTAGTTCGTTTGAAAACAACTACGATATTAGCCATTGGGAGTTCAGCACTTTCGTCGTGCAGACAGACTGCCATGCAAACGCCTACACCAGGAGCCCAGGTATTCGTCTCATTATTTTACAATTTAAGTTTATTTACTAATAGAAAAATTGTAGGTACCCTCGAAGGTACGAGTGCTATTGAAAGTATCATGGAGCACATAGCTACCGTAATAAATTTAGATGCTTTCGATGTCAAACTGGCCAACAACAGCTCAACTGTTCCTCAGATACCTAAATACTGGGGAGAATTGAAAAGCTGGGCGGACATTGAACAAAGGAAAAGTGAAATTGCACAATACAACCAGGTAGAGATATAAAACGTTAATCAAATATAACGCAGATTTAACTAAATTTTTTATACTCTAAGGATAACCGATGGATGAAACGAGGATTAGCCGTAGTTCCGTTGAAATGGATACTGGAAGTACCGGGGAATTTTTCCGTAGTGGTTTCGATTTTTCACGGTGACGGTAGCGTTGCAATATCTCATGGTGGCATCGAAATGGGCCAGGGGATAAACACGAAGGTATTCCATACAATTGACTTTATTAACATATATTATCTAATAACTTGTGCATAGGTTGCTCAAGTATGCGCATACAAGTTTGGCATCGGGCTAGACCAAGTTTCCATAAAACCTAACTATTCCTTCGTAACGCCGAATAATTCAGTCACAGGCGGTAGTTTAACCAGCGAGGCGATTTCATACGTAAGATTATCTATATTTATTAAACTACAGAGTGCTTGACGATTTAGAAATTCTATATCATTTAATGCATAACAATTATTACAGGCTGTAATCAGGGCTTGTGATACGCTTTTGAACAGGATGCAAGTTGTAAAAGAAAAAATGAAAAATCCTACTTGGGTAGAGCTGGTTAGGAAATGTTTCGACTCAAATGTACAACTCACTGCGTCTGGCTTGTAAGCGAAATTAATAATATTAAATAATATAATCAATAATTAACAATTTTAAAACAAAATTGGACATTTTTAGTTATTGGACAGACGCTCCTGGAATACAAGAATATCCGATTTATGGCATCTGTTCAACTACAGTTGAAGTCGATATTCTCACAGGGAAATACCAAATTTCGCAAGTAGATATTATCGAAGATTTAGGCGAAAGTATGAGCCCTTTAGTAGACATTGGGCAAATAGAAGGAGCCTTTGTAATGGGTAAATGATACACTCTTTAATTTAAAAAGTAGTTAACACCAATTTGTTATAGGCATTGGATACTACATGACTGAAGAAATTATCTTCGACAATGTAGGTCAATTATTAACCAACAGGACTTGGACTTACAAACCACCAGGTGCTAAAGACATTCCAATTAATTTCAGAGTAAAATTCGCCGAAAACAGTCAAAATCCTGTGGGTGTACTCAGGAGTAAAGGTATGTACTTACATTTATGTAAACAATTTAAATGTAACAACGATTTTTAGCTGTTGCTGAACCGCCTATATGCTTATCCGTTGCTGTTCCGCTAGCAGTAAGAAATGCTATTAATTCTGCCAGGCTGGAAGCAGATGGAACAACTACTATTTGGGTCCCATTCGGTAAAAGCGCTATAAAGCTTTACTTTAGAATAAATTTGTCTATTATCTATTATTTTCAGATGGACCAACTACCGTAGAAAAAACGTTCCTCAATTCTTTAAATCAACACCAACAGTACACGTTAAATTAACATAAATATTGCTTGCAATAAAACAACAATTAAGGTGGTGGTTTAATTAATTTGTTTCAATTAGTAAAAACGGTATTTCTTTTTCCTTTTAATTCGTTTATTCCGCCGTACCGGATGCGATGGAACATGGAACAGCGCTCGTGTGCACATTATCCGATCGATAAAAAAATAAAAATTCAGATTTGCATCTCTGGCAGAGTGTGTGATAGCCGAAACGAATAACAAAGTCGGGGAGATTGGAATAAATTTACGAATTACCAATCCGGATTGAGACTCTTATCGCTCCGTTCGTACTCTATGAATGCGAAAATGAATACATATAACGTTCGACCAACGGTGAATGGAGTTAGTTACTTGTTTGGGTTTCGAATCTGATTTAATGGGGAATTTTCACAAGCGCGAAAATAAAAAAAATACTGTTTTTTAACGAATCGCTTTGTATTGTAGGGAATGTTTTGGATAGCAATAAATAGTAGAGGAAAATGAGTTGTTAATAGGTAAATTTACAGTTCATTTGTTTATACGAAATTTTGGGCAAATAAAATTGATACCAGTAGGTTTGAACTTAAAATACTATAAGATGTATCGAACTAATATTTTTCTTAAATTACACGGGTGGGATTTCAAAAGGGATGAACCTTGTGTATTTTGTATTAGAAATTCGTAATGAAATAAGCACGATAAACGTATTCCATTTTCCATCCCTTCTTGTTTTAACTCCATTTCGGCATTCTTATCTCTGTACTCGCGCCGGCGGCTATTATTTTCAATTTTCCAAGATGTATTTTATCAGTTTCGTTGCCTAAATGTGCCGAGGGAAAGCTCAAATACAAATGAAAACAAATCGCTATTCGTTTTCAGATATGAAGCGACGGATGAAACTCGAATAGGACGTCATTTCCAAGACGCCTCGGGCGGTGTAGGGCATGAAATGTGTCGATTTTACAGTTACTACTATAATTCAAATCTTCAGGCGTATTAAGTTTATTCCAATATTATTATAGCATGCTATTATATCTATTTTTTAAGCTAGATGGTAACTAAAATATGTTCGGGTTATAATCAGCTCACGATGTTTAAATTGTTTAATACATTACATACTAATATTTTATTGTAGATTTTACATACTATAGTTAATGAAAAATCAGGTACAAAGTATTACTTAGTTGAGCAATCGGTTGAAACAAATTTAGTATAAATTACAAAATTAATATTCCAAACCAATTTGAGAATCGGCAAGCGTTTTGTTGGCAGTTCTAATTAGATAAATTTTATCATCCAAATCAGCGACTTGGAATGCAATGGTTTTATCGGCGCTCCAACTGGCGTTAACAACCGGTACATTAACTCTCAGTTTCTCAGTAATAATAATTTGAGCGGCGAATTGAGCGTCCTCTATAGCCGGCAGTCTGCCGATAAATTTGAGTGTCGTCGAAGCCGCGTCTCTGTTCGCTAATTCTTTCAGAATTCGGTTGATTTCCCGCAATTTCTTGACTTCCTGGTAGAGATCGCCGGCCATATCGGAAACTTTGAGGGCTATCTCGTATCCGTCGTCGTTACGGGTGCGATATCTCGTCGAGGAGTCGACCGATGATGCGTGAAAGTCGACCTCCTGGGAGCCTTCTGGCGACGCGCTCGTTATATCTGAAACAAATTTAATCTGCTGCTAAAATGGCCTACGAGATTGTTGGGCAAGAGCCTCATTTGCGAGTGTGGTTGAGCGTGAATTTTGATATAAGTTTCACAGGGGAGGGTTCTGGAGGACGTGTGTTTATTGCGAAGGGAAAAGGGACGCGTAGGAATTTGGGGACGTAATGTAACGTTACCGTTAGGATTTGATTTGATTGGGTTTTCCTCGTTTAGCGGTGATTTTATTATTATTTTTTAAACGAAACATCTGTATAAAGGGTCCTATACAAGGTGTATGTATAAATAAAACAAGTCATGATTGCCTCACATGTGCAGTTTTGTAATACACAACAACTTTTTTTTATGACTATATTATTATTTACGTAATGTATCATTACCACAATTACCATGATTTATACCGCCTAAGTAAAATTAATAGTTCAAAGTATTAAAACCCATATTAAAACGTCTTAGCAGCAACACCGAATTACGTAAGTTAATTTGAATTAGCGAGAACAATGTACGTATACCAACACCGTAACGGCATGTAATGAATGCAACCCGACATTTCCACGGCTATTATTATAAATAACAATTTTCCTGACAGGTAAGCCGGCAAGTAAAGGCCCCCGTGTTTCGTGCTAGCCCGATTGTTTCCACCGCCAATAATATTTATCTGATAAAAAATTGTCACGTTCACGGATTCCCTTGTAAACGGTCCGACACGCTTTCATGTTGTCAGAAATATGACGCGACAGAACCTCCCCGAATCGATAATGATAAAAATGTCGATGTTTTATTCATGAAGATTAATTATAACATCGGCGCACTGTCGGAAAAGCGCGAGATTATATTAATTTTAATGGCGGAAAAAAGCCGGCCGACCTGAATGGAAAATTCACCTGCGCAGGAAATGATTGTCTACATAATCAGCAGCATTTTACAGTAAATGTTTTATCTACAAATTCATTAATACCTACAACGGTATTAACGACGAAATGAAAATTTTTCTTACCTCCTACTTCAAATACTCCATTTTCTTTTCTGTATCCGAGATGATTCCGTATAACAAATAACCAGTAATATATTACATCACCTTTGTTTAACTTTACTTCGTAGTTTTCGAACACCCATTTTCCATTTGTAGGCTTCAGAATATCTTTCGAAAATCTTCCAGCTGTAAATATTATTATTATACTAACATTTCGACATTTTTTGAACATTTACTTAATTTAATACTTTCACAATATCTTTCTATGAAACTAGCTATTTATATTATGTAACAATTTCTTATTAAAGTAAAATATATATCATACCTTCGAGTCCTTCTAATGGTTTATTTATACTACCATGGAAAGCGAAGAGCTGGAGACCTTCCTCATCTGGAATGCTTACTCTGAACCCACTAGGTTCTAACACTTTGATAGTCGGTCTGGGTACTTCATATTCCACGCCATTAGCATATACATATGCAAATATTGTCAACAAAATCGTTATTAGCATTTTATAAATTCTTCGATGAGTTCTCGTAGTTTCTCTGTACGATATAACCGTTGTCGATATGAATTTGTTTTATAATATTTATATTCCTGCTCGGTTTTTTGCCAGTTGGTATAATAGTTGCTTGTATTTTCAGACATACAAGTTGCTTGCATTTAAGATAGTATATATTTATTTGTACAACTTTGAAAATAATATTTTTTTATTTTTTACAATTTTAGTACCATTTGGTATCAGTTTGAAATGTTTTTTTAATTAATTTCTCAACAACAAATACATACATACGAGATTTAATTGTACCAAACAACGTTCTCCACAATTTAAGATAACCTCCGGTTTTTCCATTACTCTTTGGACTTTCGCAGATTTGTGTAGTTTTGGAGTCCCAGTATTTTCGGGTTGCCACAACTGTGGTTACCGACGATTCGAGTAAATAATTAACGCATTAGCTGTCTTAATTAATTCGTAAGCAGCCGAATTCAACTTATTACATAGAATTTTACTCGCTACAACCTTGTATTAGAGAGTAATTGCGGACGTGTACATTAATGTTAATACGTAGTATATGTCGTAAATAATATTTATCTCAATTCTACGGTGATGCTTATTGAATTGAATTTATTGTGATATATTTTATTATAGTAAGGTTAAAGTTATGTTATAATAGAGTAAAAAAATATATAATAATATAGTGAATTTTCATTTTCCTGTTGGTGTAGATAAAGTCAAATATTTGAATATCCTTTTCCGCGATACAATTTTTATAACCGGATTTTCGTGGCTGATGCCGAGATTCGAGGAGCACTCTCAGCGCACGCAAATGAACTGAGTAAATAAAGGAGACAAACAGACGATTTCGAAATTTGTTGCCTTTGGATATTTCACTCGGATAATCTGCAATTTTTCCGCGAAATTGACTTGTTATGTTCGAAGACAAAAGGGAAGAGTCGACTTTCCCGTCTCAAGGAAATTGATTACATTTATAAACGCGAATGGCTTGACAACCAAATATCAATTTTACCAAATCCGGCGCGCGGAGTTTCCCGAATAAGAAAAGGTGAAACGTCAGGGAAATTTTTTCGATAAAACAACTCGTACACGTCGATTGTTTTTCACCCGCCCTCATCTGCATGCTCATCTTTCACTAGCGTTAATAGAATATGCGCAGAAAATACGTAACGCGATTCTTAAAATAATAAATTCCTTTCAACTTACTTTTCGTTTCTACGCAACTCCCTCAAAGTCGGGCTTAACAACCCGAAGAAAACGTTAAAACGTTAACTGGCACGAAAATTATGGGTGGCGCCCGTATTTAGCGGACCACGAATATAAAATTACAACCGAAACTTTACCTATAACAATTAGAGTTGGAGTTGGCGTGCACTTATTGCCGCCGAGGAAGCTAAGTTTGTTGCATTCAGCGGCAACTTCCAGAAAGTTCATTCGGTTATTAGAAGCCTATTCCGTTCCGGCGAATATCCGTAAGACCGCAAAACTGTAGCAGTTTCTGCGCGCACAAAAGCTACTATAAACTCCGGAGGAGTTCTCTGGCAGGAAGCGTCACTTTTTGCCACCTACTTGTAGTTACTTTACAAATAAATGCAATTAATCTGCCTTGAACAAGGGGCATTTCGTAATAGATAATTTATGCAACTGTAGGAAATTATTATTCAACTAACAAACTCACTGCTTCATAAGAAATGCCAACTTAATTTTCACTAATAAAGGTCAGGTGTACAATTTAGCTTTACTCTTTCAGAAAAATAAAGAATTTTCAATTCGTTTCATCCCGCATTATTTTCTAACAAGCACCCTATAGTTTAGACTCTAAATAATTTAATCCTCAAAGTACAAAAAAGCTCCCCTGATTACAGTCTGTTTACTAATGATCCGAGTAAAAGCAGGCGTAGCCAGTCATTTCCCATTGTTAACACAAAAAAACTAAATATAATAAAACTACCTCTTTTACAACAGTAGCGCACAAAATTTAGTACTCGAAGGAATTTACTTATGATATACAAATTCGTGGAAAAACCATTCATTATAGAATGATAAGTAAATTACAATGAAACACGCCGTGTAAAATCAAAAACTGTGTGATTTACCACCGACTTGGACTTGTTGGTAAACTGAGAGTAGTCGAGTTCAACAAGTCCCCGTTCTGAGGTCCATTATTACTAATTTTCCGCTTCACCGGCGTGCGACAAATTAATGTTCGCCATCGATCTGAAAATTTTCTTTTCAATTACGTACGTAAATAATTGCCTTAGCTTCAGGAAACACGTCCACTACGTTAAATAAAACGTATATTATCGATTTGGCGAGCGATATAAAATCACAAACGAGTTTCCATCTCACGAATCCTTCATTTTAGCTAAAGTGGGACCACTTTCAATTCCGCCGAACTGATGCTATATTGCAAAGTTTCCGGCCGGTTTTTCTCCAAAATACACCATGAAGGTAGAAACGTTAGTTTAATTCGGAGCCCTACCGAAACAAGAAAGTGTCGTAAAAGACGAACGGGGTAGGTATACAAGCTGCACCATCTGCGCGGGCGAGACCGGGAGACAATTAGTGGCCGAGATTTCCGCAAAACAATATATTCCGTGGTGGCGGTCGCCTAGCAACATTCATAACACAGAAACTGAGCTTCGGGGATTGCCCGTGATGCCGCCGAGGATCTTAACAAAACATAATTAATACCCTTGCGGAACGACTAGGGGATGTAAGTACGGACGGTCGGGATTTTATTTTAATAGAAAATCGCATATATACATACAATAAGTTTAGTTAGTTAGTTATGCAAACATGGGAGCATACCCTCATTAAATCCCAGAAGGCATTGAGCTCGGTCTCCGTATTTTTTGATCAATATAATATAGCGACACAGCGTTACGTTATTCTTATACGTGCATTAATTCGCAAACACTCGCTAAAATTAAAATTATCCAATTTGTTAAATTTTGTTAACAGTCGCGTAACTCCCATTCTTCCGCTACGAACATTCCGGTCTCTAATGTACTGCGAAATTAAGCGAGAGTGTGTACAAAAGAATCGCGAATTAAAGGTCGAGTATAACGAATAAAAATAATGAGTAAATTGATACGGCCATTGGAATTGCAAAGGAGTCGCGTTACCGAAAATCTCATTCGATTCTAACATTTCCAATTTAAATTTTATTCTTTTGATATAGCCAACGTATAACGATGAGAAGACATTCCTTTAGCAATCGAACACTTCGAATATACATAGTACAGGAAAAGCGTCGAACTGAACTCTCGTTTTACTTACGAAATTCGGTATTTTTCTGCTTTACGCCCTTATAAAATTGAGTAAGTATACTTATTTCCGATTACAATTGCACTGTAGTAAATTTATATAATTACATTAGTCCCATGATGTATGAAAATGGCTTCTTTGGCATTTTATCGTTATTACCACTTGTTCTTTAGTTGGTTAATGGAGAAAAAGCCAGATCACCATGCATTGACACCGTCTCCAAAATTGTTTTATTTCCAGTACGAAACCGTGAAAGTTTCGCGGGAAACCAAGCGGAAAATTGGATTCAACTTTTTGTGGGGATTTTCGCAAATGCGATCGAATTTCGCGTGTGGTTATATTACATTTTTATGTTCCATAGTTTGACGATTTTTTTTTTATTTCTTATAAGTTCCACGGCGGAAAACAACAATATGTTATATACGTTCGATGGGTTCTATATTGTGGAGGAAAAATTTCAATTTGTTTTTACGATCGAATAAACTGTACGCTAGGTTTATCGACCGTAAGGGCCGTACTATTCCTAACTTTTATTCCGAACGACTCGCTTTAATCCAACCTTCAAGAAAATAGGTAAATAACGCGATCACATTAACACGTCTCCGAATTAAACCCAACTATCCGAGCAACTAAATCAGTAACTATTTACCGCCATAATCGCCTTTCCAATATCCACATGGGTGCACTTGTATAACCCGCATTTTCCCTTGCCTCTTCCTCGCGCTTTAACCAGCGGTGAACGCCATTATACTGATTGCAGCGTCGCCGGAGAGTCACCTGTAAGCTTTGATTGATGGTCTTCTTCGGCACTATACATGATTGCACGGAGACTGCGAACGCAACTCCCACAAAAGGCCCTTTCGCTGCAGCAGGAGCTTTCATATTTTTGACTTTGTGACGGGCACTTTCGTGACTTTATCGATTACATGGGCGGTTCTTGGAGATGAATTATGTCCTCTATGGGCATTAAGAAAATTGGTGTTTTTTTAATTTTTTTTTATTTAATGTAATAATTTTCGAAATTGCAGGGAGAAAACGTAAAGCAGTAATAGTAAAGTCGACTATAAAGTAGGAATTGTTGAATGAATTTTGCAGGATCGCTTTTAATGTGCCGCTGTTTTGAAAGTGTAATTCTTAATGGCTGTTGTTAATTCTTGCAATAAAATTCTTTTCGGGTAATGTTTATTAGGAAAAGTAACTTTATTCAGCTGGAATTCATTCAGGGCCTATACTCTCATAATAGGGAGCTTCAGGTTTTTCAGTGAGCTTAAGCTCTTTTTGCATATTTTCGTTATTCTTCTAATATATTCCAGACTTTAAGACACAATTCCAAACGAAACGACCGTAAATAACGGCAGGAATTTTCCCGAGTAACAACATCGAGAGAAAACCCTTTTCTACGTTGTTCTCCGGCTAGGGGGTAATTTTATGAAACACATTTTTGTCAGACGAAACAAAAACCTTAATAGCCTCATATAAAATATAAATGACAGTAGTTTGCTTGAAAAAGTGCCCTTTTATATTCAATCTCGGATACAAAAAGGCACGGTGTATGATATATATCCACGTCACCGGCAACTGGAAACTTTTGTAGTGCAGCCTCAGCAACTTTTATGTATACGCTATTTCTAAAATTCGCATTAAGACGACACAAAGGTGGGCAATATTTCATGCGAGGTGTGTCGTAAAATGAATGAGAGCCGGGGAACTATCTTTCACAATTTCGGTTGGGTGATATTTGGCACTCAGCGCCATGTTTAAAGTAAATACATTATTATTTGCGGGGTAAACATAAATCTGTCTGCGGGCGTGTTGTGCTGGCATATTAACCGCCAAAAAATATATAAAAAAAGCAATGATAGAATACC